AGGAGGGGTCTAAATGGCTAGATAATAAGTATGGGATGCAGATGTTTCAATAATTGTAAAAATGAAAGGAAAACAGGCGTCCTAATGGAAGTTTCGAAACAAGGAATGTACTGTGTGGTATAGAAAACGGAAAATAAAGCGTAGGTCTATAGACGTGAACGTCTTCGGCTAAGAAAGTTTAATTCTATGAGATGCATCACTTTGGAAAAGAACGAGTACAGCGAAAGAGCTTTAAAATGTTACATTTTTTAAAAGATTAATTCAGGTGTTTTCATACACTCATCTACACAATTTAGATCATGTAGAAGGTAGGTTTCCGATGCTGACTATCAGGCCCAACCTGGGCTAAGAGAGATACATCCCAGCAAACAGACCGAGATGCTCTATCAATTTGTTTTTCCCTTCTCGGAAATGGAACTCGGGCCTCCTGCGTGCAACAACGAAGCGCCTAACCGATACACCACCGACACTGGTAGTTGCACTTACCTTTGTTAATATTGTAAGTAACAGCAATAGGGGTCAGATAAAGAAGAAGAAGAGAATTGTTGTTAGAAGGGGGTAGGAAGGCCTTTTAAGTTTAAAAAATTTTCTTTTTCTTTTTCATTCTGTCCTCATGCCCTTTCACCAGTGCCTGTGATGTGGCGGGTAGTTGCCTCGCCCTTTGACACAGGAGACACTTAGTTAAAAATCTCGTGTAGAACTTTTTTTTGGTCGAGTATTTGTATCTTTCTGCTGGAACATTGTACCCCTTTCAACCCGATTTTACCTTGGCAGGCATGCTTGAAGCAGCCCGCCTTCTAAGTTATGTACAGTGTGTTGATGGGGGCGTAAAACCCCTACACTTATATTGTAAGTAAATTCATAAGCGAGGTTAAAATGTTGGAGGAGGAGGTCGAGGAGGAGGGCTAAATCAGCGAAATTTCTCGTTATGTCTGGCCCATTTTCCCTTTCAATATTTCATTCTACCTGCATGCCACTTCGAGACAAAACTTTCTAGAAACTCTCCCAATTCGTCAGTCCTTTTGTTGTAAGCTAGTCTGCAAAAATCACCGAAATGTGGATGGTACTATTCTAAAAATGTAGATGACTGTTTTGACTATAGAAACTTTGACATTGCACTTTAGGATACTTTAACCATTCTTGCTTGTAAAGCAAAACCAAGCCGCACTGTGAACTAATTACCAACTCGCTTCCTGTGCACCCATAATATAATGACCTTATGCAGCTCCGAGCGCAGGAAAACTTTTACCATTTAAACTGAAACAGTATGTAACCTAAACATGTTATATATATATATAT